TTTTTTTAAAAAAAAAAAAACCCCCCACAAAAACCCAAAAAAAAAAAAAAAAAAAAAAAAAAAAAAAAAATCTGGTGTGCGTGTTGTGTTGTGTTGGCTATGGCAAAAAGATGATGGATATTAAAAATTTGTAATTCTTATTCTTCTTCTTCTTCTTCTTTCAGTGGAAGTGGTCAACTGGTTTTGGATCTGGTTGATTATGTGGTAGTAGCAAGTGTGTGTGTGTTTGTGTGTATCATCCTAAACAATGAGCAATGATGATTTATGTAAAGAATTTTTTTTTTCTTTCAAATCGTAGTAGTGGTATACGTGAAACAAACGAAAAGAAAAAGCAATGCCGTTTTAGTGCGAGAATCATTTGATCACAAAAAGGATATGGTGTGACTATTTTGGGAGGACTTTTGCCACTACTATTTTTTTTTTTTTTGTGAAAAACATTGCTTGTTTGTTTGTTTGTATACTTCCTTGGCCGCCATTGTGTGTCTGTGTGTTTTATATTCAGTATATTGAATGCTGGATATACGAGGAATTTATCAACAGCAAAACAAACGTTGCATCTTTCAATTCAAAACATAGTGGTTGACAATTGAATTGTTCATTTAAAGAATGATGATACGAAAAAAAAGAAAAAAAAATATGTCCACCCTCAATGTTTCCTGCATTTTAACGCATTAATATTTTTTTAGCAGCCGGGAAATTGCCGTTCATAAATGACGATCGATAAATCATTTCATTTTTAATAATTATAATCTTTTTGTATTTTTCAAAAAGAAAAACCAATCTTTTTTTCAAAATTAATTTCTTTTTTCCCATTGATAAACAAAGTATAACCCGAACAGAATTCATAGAAAAGAGTTCGAATTGCGCATCTTTAAAATGAATTTTAATATATTTTTTTTTTGTGGTAGTGGTAAATGGGTAGTAGCCGATTCTGATATTCGAAATATGGTGTCCGTCCGGTTTTGTCAAAAAAAAAATGATCAAATTTCAATTCGTTCGATTCGTTCCTGTCCAACAAAAGAAGCAATTTTCGATTTGTTTGTCATAAAAAAAAAGAAACAACAAACAAAATGTGCAACAAGCGTATTGAAAACAAATTCAAAACATTTACAAAAAAAAATGTCAATTACAGAAACAAATCAATCTGTTTTGATTATAATTGTTTGTTTTTTTCTTAGATAATCGGCTTAATAAGCAAAAAAAAAAACAAATTATAATGTTTCATTTAAATTATTATTAAAATGAATAAATCGATGGTCGATGAACTTCAATCATGATGATGATGAGAGAGTTTCACACAACAAATCACTAAACATCATTCATCAACAGCGAAAAGAATCTGTTTAAAATAAAAAGCGCGTAAATGTACAAGGTCAAACCGAAGAAAAAAAATGAATAACCGGTTGGTTGCTATACACGAAAAAAATATACAGAATTTGATTTGTTTTTTGGCCACAAAAAAAAAACGAGGCGCCCATCTTTATCGTTTGAAAATCATCATAACGATCGAAATAATGACCGAAATGAGAAACGATGATGATTTACTATTATCATAAATGTCATTGGACCAACAAAATTGAAAGCAGAAAAAAATCATCATTGTTAGACACAAGGTGGTAGTATGTGGTTGTCGGTGGCATCAATATATCGAACGATAATTGTTACCATCATCCATAATGAATGATGCGTATGTGAGTTTGTCCGTTTCGAATGATTTTATAAAAATTCGGCTGTTCGAACTTTTATTCGAATAGATAGATAGATTCTGTGCAGTGGCAACATATAACGCTATAGCGCATTCTGCTATGCATAGCATTCGATAATGATGAACATCGCTTTCGGGAGATAATTTCAAAGAACCGGCAAAAAAAAAATGATTTTTGTAAAAGAATTTTGAAACTTTCAATCCATTTCATCAGATGGCGTTTGATATTTATTCAAAAAAAAATTTTTGGTCAAAATGATAATGTGCGTAATGTGTTTATTTTGATAATGATCCAAAATATATGAAAATAATTAATTTGTTTTACAAAAAAAAGAAAATTAAAAATTGAAGAAGCTATCTATAAAATATGTGTGTGTGTGTAATTAGGCAAAATATGATTATCATTTTTTGTTGAAAATTTGAAAAAAATCAAGGCGCAAAATTAAAAAAAAAAAGGGTTAATTGAAATCAAGTACGGAGAAAAAAATAGCGGGAAGATTTTTGTATGAGAAAAAAAAACATTGGTCGAAAGAATCCGGGCCGAGTATACAAAACAAAAAAAAAATGTTTGGAAAATATCATTGATTTGGGACAAAATCTGAGTATATGGTTGTTTGGAATTGCACAAAATTTTGTTTGTTTGTTTTTCCTGTTACAAAAAAAAACCAAGAAAAGAATTTTTTTTTTCCATAAAGAGGCAGCCTGTTGTGTTTGATAATGATGATGATTATCGAATGATGATTATAAGATTTTGAACAACTAAAAAAAAGAAACTAATATTATACAAATGTAAAAAAAATAAAAAAATAAAATTCCTAAGGAGTGTTTTTTGTTTTGTACAATTGATTAATTGGGGGAAAAAATTGATTAATTTTCTAAAGTTTCGTCGAAATTTGTTTTTTCTTTTGGAAGAAAAAATCATCTTTGGTATCTGGTTGTTCTGGCATCTCAATTGCACAATTGTTCATAATTGTTCGTTTCGCAAAACATATTTTTTTTCTTCTTCTTCTTTAATTAACCATAAGTGTATGTGATTCCATTGGTGCTGCTGAATCATATAATGTATCAGTATCTTGTGTTGGTTCATCTTGTAATTGACATTGATTGCTTAATGTTCTTGCTCCACAATCGCAAAAAAATCTAATCAAATGAAGGGGAAGAGAGATAAAAATGAATGAATAAATTTTTACCACAAACAAAACAATTCAAACAACATACCGATCATGACGAATAAATTCAACATCATGTCCATTATGACAAGTTTTTATACAATTAACACAAATAGCATTTCTATCTGTTGTGTTACATGTTCGACATCTATAGAGAATAAATTTCAAATTACCATTAATCATCAAGTAAATTATCATCAAACAAAAAAAACTTACCGAAAAAAATCATGCATTGGAAAACTTGTATATGATGATATTTTATATAAACATTGACCACTATTTACTGCTTTCTCAACTGCATTATGATTATCATAGATTTTATTATTTTTCAACATTGGTAATACACCTGATGCTAAACATAAACCACCAAAACGATTATTGAAAATTTGATTAAATTCAAGTATAGCTGTTGCATTGTTTGTAATTTCAACACCAGCAGCTAAACCATCAAATATACGATTTCTTCTTAATAATGGATGTGATTGTGTTGATATTAAAACACCGGCTTGTGCATTACGAAATATATCATTATCTTCCAATACACCTTTACCACCATTAAATATACATACACCACCATCACGACCATCATATATTTTATTTCGTCTTAATGTTGGATTTGAATCAGTTTTAATCCAAACACCAGCCATAGCATTATCAAAAATTTCATTTTGTTCCAATAAACCCAATCCACCATTATAAACAAGTACACCACCATTTTGACCACCCCAAATTTTATTCTTTCGAATAACCGGATTAGATCCGGTTCGAATCTGTACACCCGAATAAAGATGATTGAAAATATCATTTTCTTCTAAACGACCATGACCATTATCATAGAAATAAACACCAACTTGTTTACCCGAATGAATTCGATTACGACGTAATGTTGGTGTTGATCCGGTTGTTATCCAAACACCGGCCAATGTATTTGCATAAACTTCATTTTCTTCAATCAAACCAAGACCTTTTTCATGAACATAAATACCACCATGTTGACCATGATGAATTTTATTGAATCGAACAATAGGATCACTAGCCGTACGTATTTGAATTCCGGCTAAAGCATTTCCATAAATATTATTATGTTCAATAAGGCCACGTCCTTCACCAAATATATAAACACCACCTTGATGGCCATTATAAATTTCATTTCTTCGTATGGTTGGATTTGATTGTGATGTAATCCAAACGCCAGCAAAATTATTCGAATGTATACGATTTTCAATAAATTGACCACGACCAGATTCATGAACATAAATGCCACCAGTTTGGCCATGATGTATTTCACATCTAGTTACAGTTGGATTAGCACCAGCTTTTACTTCAAAACCGGCAATACGATTATTATGAATATTGTTTGCTTCAAAATAACCTAATCCATTATCGAATGTAAATACACCAACATCACGACCATGATGTATATGATTACGACGCATAATTGGATTTGCATGATTCTTAACCCAAACACCGGCTAATGCATTTCTAGATATTTCATTCTCTTCATAAATACCTTGTGCATAATCGGTAATATAAAGACCAACATTTTCGCAATCGCTAATATCACAATGACGAATAGTTGGTTCGGAACCAGCACCGGAAACACAGACAGCTGCACCAACTACTGATGTAGAACGAATTGTACAATGATCAATTGTTGGTGAACTATTTTCACCAATCTTTAAACAATAATGTTTATGATGTTGTGCTGAAGTTGATTGGTCGGGTGTAAATTTCAAGGTTACATATCCTAAATAAGCTTCACGTGCACCTTCAACAAATGTTATGGTTGATTCGGTTTCTTTTTCCAAAATAACATTTTCGACAATATTTCCCGAAGCTAGATATCAAATTTAAAAAAAATTGAAATGAGGAACTGCTATAAACTTGGATATAATTTGTATACTTACAAGCACCAATAAAATTAACATTCGAATCAATCATAAGATAATCAAATTTATAATGACCAGAATGTATAAATATAAAACAATTATCAAAATCTTCTGAATAATTATATGCTTGTTCGATTGTATCGAAATAAACAATCGATTGACCACGATATCTTTGTGTATTTTTTTCAATTTGTTCTAATCGTCCAGGTCGTACATGAATACCATAATACTGATTGAAAAAAAAAACAAAAAACAAAAAATTAAAACAAAATCATCGAAAAAACAAAAACCAACTGACCAATTGTTGAAAACTTTCTTTCCAAGGATTATCTAGATCACATTCAGTGGCTGGAACTAATTCAAATTTGGCAACACCACGATAAAACATTGGATTATCATATTCATAACGATCTTGGTAAAGATTTTTCCTGTTTATTATAAAAAAAATAAGCAATATAAAGAGATAAAATAATGATAACACTAATGGAATGGAATGAAAAAACAACATACCATAATTTACAATCATTAGCAATTTTATGGAATCGTTTACAAACTTCAGATACATGGCACAGGTCTACTTCATATAGATAAGAGAATATTAAAAGCAATACTTCATCGGGTAGTTGATAAAGTAGATAGCTTGCAGCTGCTCCATCTTGTACAGTTGTTGTTGTTGTTGTTGTTGTTTGGCTAACGAATTGATTTCTATCGGCAAATGCTATTTTTTCATTTTTTTTGTCAATATCGTAAATAAAAATTAAAAAAAAATTAATCTAACCTGTCAAAATTCTGTCAAAATAGTGACCTCAAACTAACCTTTCGTTGTTGTTGTTGTTGTTGGACTATGATTTTGTGATCGATATGAACGACAATGTTGTCGAATGATTGTTGAATGATTTGTTGATGATAATGAACATTCATTGATTGTTGTTGGTTGTTGTTGATTCGGCACAATGGAATTATCATTAATCGATGATTGTAAATTGGATTGATCTTGTTGAGATGATGATGATGTTTCAACAACACAACAATTTTGATTTAAATTTGAAACAGTTTTTCTACGTAAATCATAAGGCGATGAATGATGATTATGAGGATGATTTACATGAGAATTATTTAAATGATGAAGATGATCATTATGAGATTCAAGGCTTAAATTTAAATTATTTGATGAAGATTGTTGAGGATCAGTTGGTGATGCTGAACATGCATTATTATCATCGGCTAATAAAAGCATATCTTCATGATCATCAATATTAGCCACATTATTTGTTGCCGTCGTCGTCGTCGATGATGATGAAGTTTTTGAAGACGAAGAACAAGAAGGTAAATCTTTTGTTAATGGAATATGATTTTGTAAATCGATCGTAGATGAATTCTGAGAACAACAAATACTATTAATAGTATCCAAAGAGGAAGAAGAAGTAGAAGAAGAAGAAGAGGTAGCTATTATCGATTGATTATGAAATTCATGATTTTGTTGATGGCTACCATTGGCAGAAATTATGGAAGACGTACAATTCGTTGAGGTATTATTTGATGATGATAATAGAGGAGGAGAATCTTGTTGACTGGATTGTTGTGGTTGAGATTTTGAATCAAAATAATATGGTGGATTAGCTGATGATACTGTTGTTGTTGTTTCATTAACAACAGCCGTCGCCGCAGCCGCCGCCATAACAACATTGGTCATGACTGGATTGATACATAATTTTTTCTTTACTCTTGATAAACTTCGTGATCTTGATGCTTGTCTAGCTAATTTTTTAACTGAAACACGATTATTATTAGGCGATGGAGATGATGATGTTGATGGTGGTGATGATGATGAAACGGATGATGATGATGATGTTGATTGTAATAATAATGGTAGTGGTGGTGGTGGTGGTGATGATAATAATATTGATGATTGTCTTGAATCAATAGTCATTGATATTTGATCATTATTATCGATTGATATGGAAGATGTATCATTATTATTATTATCATGATGATGATCATGGTCACCATCAATATGATGATTTAGATGATAATGGTTATTATTATTATTTATTGATGTTATTCGTGATGTAAACAGGTGTTGTTGATTATTTGTACAATCAATATCATCATGATCATCAGGATCATCATCAACAATATTATTATTATGGTTGTTAGTTCCAGAAACAGTAGCAATATTATTTGTATTGACCATTGTTGATCGTTTTTGTGATTGTTGTTGTTGTTGTTGTTGTTGATTATTTTGATTTATGAACATTTTTTCCCCGTTATTCAAAAAATTCAAATATGGCAGTGAACATTGATGATATGTTGCATAGGCCAAAAAAAATATGGATTTTTTTTTGATCAAAAAAAATGATGATGCTTTTTATCTAGGATTTTTCATGTTTTCGATCAATATTTGTTCGTTGTTATCAAAAAAATCTAATGAAAAAAGAAAAAGAAAAAAAATCAAATTAAAAACCAGGAATTTCATAAATCAATCTGTCTGTTTTCCCCCTCACAAATTTTCATACAATATTCATTTCGGAAACAAATAAATCATCAATCTCACTCTGTGTGAATACACCGGGTAAACCAACAAAAAGATAATAATAATAAAAAAAAACCGAAACATTATCTTTATATGTGGATATGACACTTATGATAATGATAACAAGGGGGAAACAAGGAAAAATATTTTTTTTTTGGCTTTTTTGATATCTGTTCTATTAGAAAAAAAAACTATGATAACCTAAATTAAGATCAAAAGAAGAAGAAGAAGAAGAAGAAGCTAAAAAAATATAAAGTATTAGTGTAGGGTCCTTGGCAAACAAAATTTATATAAAAATAGGACACCTCTAACCTAACCTAAACTTGGCTAAAAACATAACCAAATATTTTTATTTTTATCATTAATGATTATTATGATTATCAATTTTTATAATAATAATTTATTCTATAAGAATTAATTAATTAAAAAAGAGAGGGAAAGAAAAAAAGAAGTTATTTATAATTGCTGATTAAGAATTTTTTTTGTAATTTTTTTTTCGGTGGTTTTTAATTAAAGGCAAATAATAATAATAATAATAATTTACAAGATTCAATTAAATCAGTGTTGATTATAATCATAATCATCATTATAAATATAAATTTTCTATTAATGTTTTTTTTTTGCTTTTTATCTAATTTGAAATGGAAACAAAAAATGTTAGCTATTTCGACAGCAATGAAATCAAAAAATGCAATTTTTTTGGATTTAAAAATCTCTCTCTCTTTCTCTCTCTCTCTCTCTCTCTTGCATCGTGATCATCAACTTATCGATGGTAAAGAAAGAACAAAAATGATGATGATGATAAAACCCATCTCTCTTTTATTGTTATCTGATGAATAGAAATTTTTCAAACCAATAGAGATCATCATTAGGAAATCAATAGGGAGATTGACTATGAAAAAAAAACAACACTCACATGAGATTATCCATCATCCAACAACGAAGAAACTAAATACACAAGAAGAGAAAAAAGATTTCAAGCATATTTTTTTTTCGAAACACCAAAAAAAAATACAGGGAAAAAAAACCTGACCAAAACAAGAGAAAAAAAGAGAAAATAATATATACCTACAATGAAATTGAGGACACAGACACACACACATATGGCAAATGAAATGAGAGTAAACCAGGTAAAACAAAAAAAATTGAACCATGAGAAATAGAGAAAACCAGAAAAAAAATGAATGAGATTTTTATGGCTCTCTCTCTCTCTCTCTCTTTCTATAGCTTGAAAATGACCCAAAACGATTGTAAATTCCTATGATGAAGACTAAAAAAAAAAATCAATCAAAAACAATAAAAAAACAACCAAATAAACAGAATTTCTAGAATTTCTTGAAAAAATCAAGGTAATCAATCGAAGACTAAAGAATTTTCTATTTGTTTTTCATCCGAAAAAAATACATTTTTCCGAACGAAAAAAAGCAGAAAAAATCGATTGATAAATGTGGTTGAAAAGTTTTGTATTTTTTTTTGTCGGCTTTTTTATGATGATGATGACAAACAACAACGAATTGTCCTTTTTTTTCAAACAATGATATGGATATATATTTTTTTTATAATGGTCATCAAACATCAAATATCATCATCATCATCATCAAAGGTTAATGATTCGGGTCAAATCTGATCGTTACACATTATCGTTGATATAGGTGTGCATTACACACACACACTAATACTATCTTCAACGAAACGAAAAACCTGACAAAAATTATCATCATCATCATTAAGGTAAATCTAAAACGAAATAATCCATTTTGGCTCTGAGATAACCGATTTAAGATTTGAGCCATAAAGAATTCAATGTTTTCATTGACACTACTCACCCCTGTCATTTGATGATTTGGAAAAAAGATTCAGAATTTTTTGTTTTTTTTTAAGAAAACAAAGGCATTCGAAATGAAAAAAAAAATTCTGTAAAAGATTTTCTCACACACAAAAATCATTGAAAGGATATTTTGGAAAAACTATTTCACGATAATTATTATGATGATGATGATGACGATGAATGTGATTAGATAAACCCCGAAGATACAGATATACAGATCAAAAGATTTTTCGAATCGAATGAATGGATGGATGGTTAACAATGATGGTTGTCTATTTTTTTACAGGAAAATAATAATAATAAAATCTGGTTAATGATCACTGAGCTTGAACGAATCTATCGAATCGTTGTTGTTGTTAGTGGTGTAGGTAAAATTTCAAAATTCACATAAAAACATGAATAAAATGGATCATCATCATCCATTCATTTTAGATAAAGATCCATTCAAATCTAGAAAATTCATTTGGAATTATTATCAATGATAATAATAATGATAACCAAAACCAAAATAAATCATAAAGAAATTGAAAACAAATAATAATGATAATCATCATTATCTTTGAGAATTTTCAATTCGATGATTACCTTATTGATAAAACAAACACACACACAAGAATCTTCAAATATGGATGATGATAATGGATCAAACACTGAACAAACTGAGAACACTTTTAGGAACAAAACATACACTTTAAAACAGAAGAAGAAGAAGGCTCAAAATCCAGTAAAATAATTTTTTCAAAAACACCAAATCTTTAAACCAGAAAACGTATCAAAAAACACAGTCATTTCATATATGATATAGCCCCAAATAACAACAATAATAAACCATCATCATCATCAGAAAGAAACGAGGGGAAACAAAAACAAACTTCAAAAAAAAAATATAAAAATTACATAGAAAACCCGAACACAATGGTGTATTCGTATGGAAGTTTGAATGAACCACAAAAAAAAAATTTTCGAATGAAAATAGAATTTCGAATGTTATGATGATGGATAATGGAATGGAATGAATGAAAGAAACGAAACGACGACGACGACGACGACAGGATCAACCAAAAAAAATATATTTTCGTAAGTGATAGACGTTCATATCAATGAAGGAATTGAATATCGGATTCGTGGATATCCATGGAGGGGCGGTCCAAGATAACTTGCCGAGAGACAGAGATTTTCGAATGACAAGGGATACAGTAGTGGTAGTGGTAATGGTGGAAGTAATGAGGATATTGAATGTAGGCAGGTGTATATTGTTTGTCTGTCCAAACAGTGAGATAAAATAGCAGAACAAAAAAAAAAAAGGAAATCTTTGATTTTGATTCGAAAAATACCGCTTCCATTCCTAAAACAATAGCAACAGCGCCATCTAATGTTTGATGAATTTAGATATTCGATGATTCGAATCTTGATGATTCGAATGAAGATTTTTTGTTCGAAAAAAAAAGAAAAATCAAAAGTTTCAATTTTTTTTGTCAAGAAAATCCAAGAAAATCATCGAAATACCGTCAATCCAGCAAAGAAAGAAGAAAAAACGACGAATCTCGTGAGAACGAAATGAAAAGAAAGAAATAATGAAATCCCAAATGTGTAAAAAAAGGAGGAGGCGACACGAGATCATCATCCACCATCATCAGTCAAACTTATGGTTCAATTCTTAATATGCGAACTTTACCCACAAATAATCATCATCAAACAAACAAAAATGGTACCGACCCAATCTATCTATCTATCTATCTATGTCGACAACCAAACCATACACGTATCAAGATAGCAATACTACCAACAACAACAGCAGAGAAAAAAAATTTCATCAAACAACGAAAAAGACTATGAAAAAATGTCGGTTCTATGTTGCAAAAAATACGTGCGAGTGTAAATACACACAGAGTGCAAAAAAAATCGACAATAACAACATTCGGTCGAACGTTCGAATCGTTTGAGCGCTTGGTCCCCTCCTCATCTTTTCAAAACAAAATGAATTCAGCCGGCCATCAAAAAAAAAAAAATCTTTTCTCACACAATTTTTTACCTTGTATATATTTTGGGTGTTATTGGCTATGGACAAACAGAAAAAAGGCTAGGCAAGTGCATCGAACCCCGTGTTAAAACATCCCAAACCAACCGACCAAAAAAACAGATCTTTCATATCCTTCCTTCTTTTTTGTTTTGTTTTGTTTTCAGAGGCAAACACACACACCATACCAGCAGTGTTCACTTATACCACCATCATTATCATCAAAATGGTGAAAACTTCAGAAAAAACAGAGAGAATATTTTTTATCTGAACTGGACAAGATTGAAATGAAATTGAAACTGGATGGCCTTCGACCTCCAAATTCATTCGTTGATATTACTTACTTACTTTGCACGCGTTTTTCTTTCTCTCTCTCTTCTGATGATGAGAAATAATCTGATATAATTATATATCCCCGGCTCCAACAACAACAACAACAAAAGAACGAAAGAAAGAAAGGTTAGCGACCGAATCTGGTAAAGTTTTTTTTTTAACAAAAACAAATCATGGAATCCGTAAAAAAACATTACCAAAAGACTTTCTCATCATCATCGATGGATGTAACAAAAAAAAAGGTTATTGTGCTTTTAATTAAACTTGAACCAAGCAAAAAAAATTGATGGAACCAGATGTGTATCCCGATTGGATTGTACCAAATAAAAAAATCCATTTCAATCAAAAAACATTAACATTAACATCATGATCCATTTGATGTGCACACCATAGGGTAGATTTCTTGTTTTTATCTAATTAATTGATTGAGCTTATGATGATGATTATAACCAGGATAATTTCGCAAATAAAATCAATCAATTTCAATTAATTCTGTCAAAACATCTGTTCAAAATTAAATTTCCGGAATATTTTCTTCTAAATCTCATTTCCGTTCCGGGAAATTTTCTTGCTGCTCTGGTCTTTCATTCGATTCGATTTTGCAAACATTCGAAATTTTTTTCCGTTTCTCGAATGTCAAAAATGTTAATTCTGATCTAGAAATTAAAAATTCTGAATGAATGATTTGGTTTTGGGTTTGATGTACGTCAAATTTGATTATGTTAATCACAAAATCATCATCCACCACTGATGGATTGATTGTATCGATCATTTTCAATCATCATCATCATCATTGCAATTACACCGAGTTTGATCATCAAATTCAAATTCAAGAACAAGTTCGAGATCATCATCAGACAAGATACAGTGTTTATTTTTCTTGTAAAATACCAGGATAAATTTTCATCAAATTAAATTATAGTAAGTAAGTTCAACCCTAAATGCTGTCACATCTGATGATGAAAATGTGTTTTTTGTTTCATTTTTTTTCTCGGTCAAGATTCGAATGTCAGACAAAAAAAAATTGAACAAACGAACCATTCAAATATCGAACCGGGTTGATTTGGCTCTCGAGAATCCTTTTTTTTTGGGAAATTCCTTCAAGAATCATTTTGGAAACAATTTCGGTCCGAAAAAAAGCCAACATGAATTATGAATGAAGATTTTCAAACAAACAAAACAAACAAAAACTTAACGAAGAATAAGAAAAAAAGGTCATTCAATTGTTTACAATCATCAAGGTATATTTTTTTGAATTTTCTTTCTTAGTTTTTTTTCAAATTTCCATTTACTTTTTTCTTCCAAATTTACAATCCCAATATTGTCCTTGATATTTTTTTTTCTTTCTTCAACATTTTAATGATTTCAGGACCCTATTTCACATGCATTTGGCATTTTCTCAGTTGCTTGACTATTTCTTGAAAAACCGTTTCGGTTTTTCTCACACACAAAAACTCAAAATGAATGAATGTTTCTTTTCATTATTCAACAATCACGGTGTATATATCGTCAAAAAAAATATAATCGACAAAATATGTTCCACAGGGGTCACACACACTAAGCTTAAAAAAATTTCAACAAAAGTTTTGGTGACAAACCCTGATTTTCTTCATTTTCTTACGCGGAAGTATTGTAATCTGAACGGTTTTTTTTCGTCTGGATCACTTGCTTTCAATATTGATCATCATCGTTATTGTTTGATTTTTTGATCCAAAAAAAAAAGTTTTTATTAAACGAAACTGGCTGGGAATTCATCGTTCACAGCGAACACAGGTCATTCATAAAATGGGGGGTGGGGGACAAACAGAAAGTTCGACTATTTTGTTTCTTAGGTCAAAATATCCATCATCATCATCATCAACATTCGAATGTTGATTCATTCATACACACCCCCTCTTCAAAATGAAAAAACCTGTGTTTTGTTTTGTTTGTTTGTTTGTGCAACAAGTTGACCTCAATTTTTTTCAA